TAAAGAAAATCCGCGAACTGCTGGCATGTCGGAAATGGCGCCTTAAGAAAAAATGAAAATCAAGAAATTTTAGTGCTCAAACATGCTCTATACATAAGACCAGCATACCTACAAAGAACCATAAACTTTCAGTGAGTGCACTAAGTAGCATGGACGGCATGACTTGACCACAGATATGAGCAATTCGATCTTCTACCGATTGACCAACGCTTACTACATTTTGGGATATTTTACTTTTTTCTGTTAACAGCACTTTTTTACCTGTCAATTAAAAGCGATTTCACTAACATACCTGATAAGCCTGAATAAAAATGAATATTCTATTCACTCCTACAGCTAACACTATAAATACTAGCACAACAAGAGCTGCTTTTGAAGTTCCAATACCATATAAAGAAAACACGCCAATGGAACTAAAATTTTTCCAGACACTATGCTGGTTCGATTTGGGAGAAAAAAAAACAAATTCATCTATTGACGAAAACTTAGATATCATGTTATTGGACGAAAAATGCAAAAGAAAACGAAAAATAAGTTGAGGAAGGATTTTACGTGCATGGTTTAATTACTTCTTTTTCTATTATGAAATGACACAAAAATAAAGAACTATCATGGCTTCTATTTGCAGCAGCAACACGAGGTTGGTATAACACGCGTATTAAATAAAGGCTAATATATCCATGATTCTAACAAAGGAAATGCCCATATTTGATATATGCTGTATACCAACATCGTGTTACTGTCAAAAAAGAGTAGGGATAATTCAGTAACAAATGCACAGGCTGAAACACAACTTATCACACACCTAATACTATGATTTTCAAGAAAAAAGTTACATTTATTCAGAAAAAACCAAACGAAAAGGTTGCATAATGAACAATTACGCTTACCTTGCTACACTACGCATTATAATTGCCACGCCAGTTACACCTGCTACGATTTTAGAATGGACTAATAGTGAAAGCAGGTTATTACCAGTTACAATATACTGTCGAAGCGCCAATGCAACGTAACCAATCATCAAAACACAGTTTATCAAAACTGTGTAGACATCTGACGAATATTCTCTCTCAATTTCATCCTAAATATGAAATTTTCTTTTCTATTACAAATTTTTCAGAGCAACCTATAGAAAATCATATAGATTTGCCTTGCTACACTACGCATTATAATTGCCACGCCAGTTACACATGCTACGATTTTAGAATGAACTAATAGTGAAAGCAGGTTATTACCAGTTAGGGGGTTAGTAGCAGGTTATTACTTAGGCTTAGGCTTAGGTAGACACCTTACATATGTGAGCTTTATAGAATATTCCAATGACGATGACAATACTATCGTCAACGATCTACGTATCCTTTTTTCATATAACACCACATAAACACATTATTATCTACTATATACAGGATACGTTATATAACGTTTATCGATTTCATCGGTTTCAGCGATGATCCATCTGCAGGTTCACCTACAGATACCTTGTTACGACTTTTACCCGGTTCAAGCCATTGCGATTGAACTGTTTCCCACAATATCGCGATCAAAGAAATCACGATATAGCAGTCCGCAGTCCTCTCGAGAAAGCTCAGTCCCGGACAGCGACGGGCGGTGTGTATAAATGGCAGGGACGTAATCAGCGCGAGCTGATGACTCACACTTACTAGGAATTCCTCGTTCAAAAGGAATAATTACAATTCCTTATCCCGGTCACGGAAGATATTCAACGGTTTACCAATACCTTTCGGTAATGGACAAGCCAGCTGTTTCTTTCATTGTAGCGCGCGTGCAGCCCCGAACATCTAAGGGCATCACAGACCTGTTATCGCTCAATCTCGTGCGGCTAAACACCGCTTATCCCTCTAAGTAGTAGACTGAACATATTCGAGAGAAAATCAATCCAGCCACTACCAACTAAGAACGGCCATGCACCACCAACCACCAAATCGAGAAAGAGCTTTCAATCTGTCAATCCTTACGGTGGGGCCGGGTGAGTTTTCCCGTGTTGAGTTAAATTAAGCCGCAGGCTCCACTCCTGGTGGTGCCATTCCGTCATTTTCTTTAAGTTTCAG